CTGCTTCTCGTGAGCGATTCAAAAGGGGTAGATGTATGTATGTTGCTGTTTCCGTTACTTACCACGTCTGTGCCTCAGGCGTCGAATCTGTAAAATGGAGACTAAAACAGTCACTCGTAATCCCGTAGGATTGTGCGAGGGGTATGTGAGACAGTGGACAGAAAGCACTCACAACAGCGCCTGGCACGTAACAGACTCCCCCTGTTGGTCTTGTCAGCACACTGCGTGGTTCTGGACGCATAGGTCATGCCAGGAGGTTTTAAGGGAAAGGGATCAACCGAACCGTATTAATCACACTGAAAAGAAAACCCAGCTGTATCCTGTTTACGATATTCTTGAAGCTGCTGACAGCGAATTGAACAAATTTGTGTACTACGTGAAGCTGAATTATTGGAGTGGCTGGGTCATCAAAGGTTGAAACTAAACACAATAAATAGAGACCGAGAGCTAGCGGAAAATATTGGTAATACCAAGTATGAATAAGAAATCGTACGGTCAAGAGAGATTGGTGTAGGAAAAAGAGTTGAACTGGGTGAACAGCACAGTGGATGGGGTAAATAGTAAGGTGGATGGGGGCCAAGGAACACGAGGGGCTGGATAGGTCCATTGAAGAGAACTCTCCCTCCAAGCGTAGCCGGAAAGGATAAAGAGCTGGGAAAGAAAACGGTAAGAGATTTTGAGGCCAGAAGTGCCGTCAGAAGGAGAAATACAACAAAACAAGCGGAAGGAAGGGGGTATCGAGCAAATGGTAGTGGTATTTTCTCCAGAATGAAGAAAAGAGAAGAGGTCAGATCGGCATGGTTTATAGAACACCAAACCAGACTGAGGAAGAAAATTCACATCGGACTACAATACAGGTCAGGACAGACCCAAAATTAAGGACATGAAAAACGAGGAAACTGGAAACATTTCCAGAAAGAAAGATAGTCAGACACCGGACAAAAGCAGAACTAACAGAGAAATCCTACGCGAACGGAAACCCAGTAACGTTACTGGAGAATCCTTAGTGACGAAAAGACACAATAATGGAAGGTTAACAGCAAACACTCACAAAGCACTTAAAGCTCTGGATGACAGAACACCAGCTGTCAGAATCAAAAATTCAAAAGACGTAAAAGCTGCCCAACACTTACTTTTTAAAACACCTTTTTTTTTAAAAAAAAAAATAACGATGGATTTACAGAAAGTCGCTCAGATGATACAAAGTGTATCAATTGTACGTGCAGGTTTTAATTTATGGAGGTGACTGAGTGCCAACATCGAGAGGTCAATGCCCTTGAAAGATTTTTATTACGTTTCCCACGATGGGGGCCTGCCACGCTGCGGGGGCCACATGGGGAGGCATTTGCTGTCTCTAAGAATCGGCTAGCCGTAGAAATGGCCACGGAGGCCATAAATGTCAGAGCATCACAAATATAGAAAAAAGGAAAATATAGTTAATACAGATATTGGCCCCATGATGAAGGGATGCCGAATGAAAAAACCCAGAATCTACGAACACAGAATAAGAGGGGTCCCCTATCTTTCATTCACTTCTCCCAGATGGCTGCATCGAACATAATCCTAGTACACTATAAAAAAAAAAAAATCACCATTGGTACAATGCGTGTGTATAGCTCTGCCATTTTAGCGATGTGTAGATTTTGTAACCCACATCACGGTCAAGACCCAGAACTTTCCATCACCACCAAGATCTGCTTCATGTTGCCACCTTACAGGTGTGCACAACCCCTCCCTCCACTGTCACCGACCCCTGGCAACCAGTATTATGGTTGTTCCAGAAAATAAAAAGGGCGAAAGTTGTGTCCCACGCTTTATAAATTCTATCATAGCTTTGATTCCAAAACGAGAAAAGGACAAAAAAAAAAAAAAAAAAAATGTGGCCTAAGAATTGATGAGGAAGAAATACGACTGAGAAACTAATCAGAACGCTCAGCATATGGGTCAGAGACCAGAACCAGTTATAAAAATCTGTAGCATTTTTCCACACCCGCAACAATCAATTGGAAAATATATTTGAAAATACAACACCAAGAAAAATAGCCAACTCTACACTATCTGGGAATTGTTTATATAATCTGTTTTCAGATGACCAAGGAAAAAATGTGAAATTTTAAGTAAGGACGCAAAAGAGCTGGGGTAAATTGTCTGACATCCAATGATGGCTTAACGCAAAAATGATGTCGGGGCGCCTGGGTGGCTCAGTCAGTTAAGCGTCCGATTTCGGCTCAGGTCTTGATGTCACGGTTCATGGGTTCGAGCCCCACATCAGGCTCTCTGCTGTCAGCGCAGAGCCCGCTTCAGATCCTCTGTCCCCCTTTCTCTTTGCCCCTCCCCCACTCATTCTCTCTCTCAAAAATGAACATTTAAAAGAAAAAAAATGATGTTAACTTCCCCCATATATCTATGAATTTGAAGCAATTTCAGTCACTATTCTAGTTGGATGTTTCAAGGGGCTCAATAAACGTTTCCTGAATTTTTTCTGAATGCAAACTTTCTGAAATTTGTATGAATGCTTAATGGTGTGCCAATTAACTAGTTCAACTTTGAAAAGAAAACGAAAGGCGGAATACTCAAAATACTACAAATCCATAATAATAAAAACCACATGGTTATGATTTATTTATTTATTTATTGGCTTCATAGGCTTGTGACCTCTGCAGTCACATAGGACCCCCACTTAAGTGGGCCCCATGCTTGCTTTCAGTGCGATTTGCTGTCACTGTCTCGAAATTCTTAATAATTTTTTTTTAAATTTTTTTAACGTTTATTTATTTTTGAGACAGAGAGAGACAGAGCATGAACGGGGGAGGGTCAGAGAGAGGGAGACACAGAATCCGAAACAGGCTCTAGGCTCCGAGCCGTCAGCCCAGAGCCCGACGCAGGGCTCGAACTCACGGACCGCGAGATCATGACCTGAGCCGAAGTCAACCGCTTAACCGACTGAGCCACCCAGGCGCCCCTCGAAATTCTTAATAATTTTTAAACAAGAACCCTGCACTTCGTTTTGCATTAGCCTTGCCAACCATGTGGCCCGTCTCAACGGGAACAAAGATGTTTCCAAGACCAGGACAGAAAGTACGGGCTCCAAAGAATGGATTTCTGTCCGGCAAAGGACACCAGGGATAAGGAACTGACAGATAACTGAAACTAAATGCCTTCAATGACTCAGGTAGACGAGGGCCGATATAGAGAATAACCAGGAACTCTTGCAAAGCAAAGAGCGAATCCGTTAAAAACGGGCAAAGGGTTGCAAGCGGAAAACAGAAGAGAAAACTTAAATGGCCGGCTGACCAACAAAAACATCCCAACGGATTTGCAATCAGAGAAATGAAAGGTGCAACAATCGGATGGCATTTTACGCCCATTAATTGCCAAAAATGAGAAAGCTGGAGCAGGCAACGAGGCAGAAATCAGCACCCGCCCGGAGGGTGTCCTGGGGCAGTCGCTCTGGAGCACAGGCTGGTGGGAATTACCAGTATGGGTTTACCTTGTGACCCAGCAACCCCACTCACAGGTGCGTGTATGTGAGCTAAAGCCTCACGTAGGTCGGTATGGGGACGCTCTGGGTGCTTCTGTGGGTCGGAGGCCGTCTGTGTCCATCACCCAGGGAACGGCTAAGTGTGAGATGTTGATGAATTATTACGGGTGGTGAGAAGGTCTGGACTCGGTGAGCGCAGGAACGCCATAAGTAGAACAAGAAACACCTCAAACGTAGCACAGCACGACCCGTGTAGAAACAGATCGGAAGCACAAAGTCACGTATATAAATTGTAAATACATTTGCACAAAATGAGGACACCTGCGAATAAAAGCACAGACATCAAGCGTACGGGGGTAGGGGTAACAGGGAAGGGAGAGAGGGAAAAAATGAAAGGAAGTGGATTATTTAAGATGAAGGACACGAGGACCCACAGGGACGTACATGAACATAAACCAAAAAAAAGCACTTTGCAGGACCAGGGTGAAGAGTGTCATTAACTGTGCAGCTGATGACTGCACCGTTCTGCTCTTGAGGGTAAAAACACACAAACAAAATGAACTGTCTAAGGTCCCACAAAACTGGGTAAAAAATTTTATTTTTTTTTTTATTTTTTATTTTTTTTTATTTTTTTTTTCAACGTTTATTTATTTTTGGGACAGAGAGAGACAGAGCATGAACGGGGGAGGGGCAGAGAGAGAGGGAGACACAGCATCGGAAACAGGCTCCAGGCTCTGAGCCATCAGCCCAGAGCCCGACGCGGGGCTCGAACTCACGGACCGCGAGATCGTGACCTGGCTGAAGTCGGACGTTTAACCGACTGCGCCACCCAGGCACCCCTGGATAAAAAATTTTAAAGACTGGATATTGTCTCTTGGCTGTATGGTGGGGGGGGAGGGAGAAAGAAAAGCTACTGATTTTTAGCCATGTCTTTTTACTCCCTCAAAGCATGTATTATTTATTTATTTTTATTTTTTAATTTTTAATGTTTATTTTTGAGAGAGAGAGAGAGACAGAGAGAGACAGAGAGACAGAGCACGAGCCGGGGAGGGGGCAGAGAGAGAGGGAGACACGGAATCCGAAGCAGGCTCCAGGCTCCGAGCCGTCTGCACAGGGCCTGACGCGGGGCTCGAACTCACAAACCATGAGATCCTGACCTGAGCTGGAGTCGGATGCCCAACCGACTGGGCCACCCGGGCTCCCCAAAGCATCTATTATTTAAAAGAATTCAAATTCTTCATTTTTTTTCAGCAGCAGACCGGGCAACCCGCACGAGAACCTGTATCATTCTTCTCCCTCGGTGAAGACGGAGCTGTGGGCCTCTGAATTCATCTCTTCCCGCCCCCCCTCGCCCCCTCCCCTCCCCCCCCCCCACTCCCTCCCCGCCCCCTCACTCCCCTCCCTACCCCCTGTCATCTCAGATTGATGGTTCTGGAAGGCGGAGCTGAGTGCCTGTAAATTCATTTGAAAGTGACACGAAGAAGCTAACCTTGTCTACTTCTTTTGCTTTGAAATTCAGTGTATGACTCGGTCGGGAAGCTTGGGAGCAATATTCTTAACGGAAACGTGGACAGGCTGGGATCGTACAGCGAGTGCCTCTCCGCCCGGGCTCCCTCGGGGCGCTTCCAAGGACAGTACTGCAAGTTTCAGATCCTGCAGGTGAGTGCGGGATCTGCCCTCGTGCTCTCCAAGGACAACTGAACTTCGTGACCGGGAACCCCAGACAGCTCCGTCGATTGCTTTCCTTAACAAAACACCCCCCAAATCTATTACGATGTTTTGCAAAAAGTTACACCTAAATCGCACCCGCATGTTCTGAGTGTGCGACACTATAGGAGGGCAGTTGTCCGCATTCCACACAGACCTTCAGATGTTCCTCCCGCCATATTGTACGGGGGCAAGACTTCTGGACGACCTTCATGAGGAATCCAAGGTCAAGCCCCAGCCGATGTTTCTGGGCATCAACTCCTGACTCACCATCTGTTTGGGGAATACCAAAGGGAGGGAAGACTTCCCATTACCCATAATCCTGTCCCAGAAACAGAGCTCTGAGACATGTGTTTGAGACGGGCCCGGACTTCTGTGAACACATCAGTACATCAGTTGACTGAGGTCACAGGGCTCACTCCCTGCAAGGCATGTTAATTCTTCCACTGCTGGAAAGTAAAACCAGGGACAGCACAGCCTCTTATTCGATACAAAAATAGGCTTGATGATGTTGTACGACACTAGAAGAAAATACACGTTGGCTAAAAACAGTCATATAAAATAGCAGTAAGAAATCCACGCTTTCTGATATTAATGCTATAAAACGGTCTTGAGATGGTTGAGCACTGGCCATCGAGAGATTCTCACCCACTTGTCCCCCGGAGGGCTGTGACAATGATTGCTTGAGGGTTTAATCAGTGTGTACAAATGTCACGTCCTATTTTCGAAGCAGATTAATGGTTTTGATATCAGAGCCAAAGGCCAGGCCTATGCAATCATGTAAATTGCATGTTTAGAAGCAGCATGCCGGAAATTTTTATTTATAATTTGATCTTTCCTTCATTGGGACAGGCATTCTCATCATGGGCTTGATTTATGAATAAAATCTTTATTTGATACGCTGTGTCCTGTTACAAAGAGATGGCCACGTGGCAATTCTGTTGAAAATCCTAAGGACCGTCGACCCCTAGGACAGTTTGCCCTGTGGGAGAGAGGTGAAGGGGGGGGCGGATTACCCCGCACTGGTGGCAGCTTTTAAACTAATCAGCTGCGTACTTTGATGTAAACACAAGTGCATCTGACCTTCTGCAGGTTTACTCGAACCACCCTGTAATGGGGAAGCCATCTCCAAAGATGTCAGCGCACGTCTTTCGACACCTGTCCCCCCCCCCCCACCCCCGTCCTAATCTTAATTCTTGGGCAGCACAACAGCAGCCTTAGACATGATCGTGTGCATGTGTCACGAGCACCAACACGAAAGAACGTTGTGGCTTTGTGTTTTTCAGGATGGAGCTGCATACAGCGTGGGAGTGTGTGTCCCTGATTCTTGCACCGAAGAGGACGTGACCATGATGTCTCAGTTGGGTAGGTCCTAGTGAGACTGTTGTCTCCGCGTAACGTTTGAAGACCCCCAACTCCTTGGAGCCGAGAAAGGCCCTTCTTTCAGGAACGAACTAACCTTTCGTCCTGATTAAGGCCAACAAACTGAGTGAGAATAATGGGGTTTTGGGGATTTGGCAACGGAGGTGTTGGCATAGGCAAGGAGTAGGTAGGATGGAGGATGGAGGTAGGACTGAGAGAGAGAGAGAAAGAGAGAGAGAGAGACAGAGCGTGAGTGGGGGAGGGGCAGAGAGAGAGGGGGAGACACAGAACCCGAAGCAGGCTCCACGCTCTGAGCCATCAGCACGGAGCCCGACGCGGGGCTCGAACTCACGGACCGCGAAATCGTGACCTGAGCCGAAGTCGGACGCTCCACCGACGGAGCCACCCAGGCGCCCCCTGCACAATAAAATTTTAAATTTCAACAATCTTCCCTCACCCACAGTGGCCTGGTTCGGCCTGAAGAAAGGAGGGGGGCGGTATCCGGTTCCATATTGTGAGTGTTCTCTGCTGTGGCCCACGTGTGGAGGCCTGGCAGCTGCCAAATCCGGAAGGCCACTCTGAACTGGGATCGTGTGACGCCAATGCGTTACGAGGGTTCAGGGCTGGGACCCCCGCGTTTTTTCCAAGTCGTCACCTCCCAGCTGTGTGATCCTGGGCAAATCGCTCCCACTCCCCGTGCCTCAATCCCTTCCTCTGCAGGGAGAGGGGTGGACAACGAAGTTCCGCGTGACTCCGGCTCCCCGCGGCCTGGCAGTCGCTTCTGACCTTCGCCTCTCAGAGTGAACACATTTGAGTCCTCATGGACGCTGGGTGGATTTCCTCTCTTTCAGAATTTTCAAAGGAAGAGTTTTGAAGCCCAGAAGTTTAACTACTAGCATCTCTTGTATTTATTCTGGCTGTCCAAATAAGAACTGACACGGCACGTTAAGAGGAAGACACTATTTCTCTACCTGCAGGACACTTCGGACACCACATGCGTGGGTGCCCCCCTCACGTTGTACAGTTCTGACGCAAACTACCTGGAGGCCGTGCTGACCCCACAGGTCAAAGGCTCATTCCCACAAGACCGTCCCCCACTTCAGACACCAGTCCCAAGTAGTGGGTCCCAAGGTTGCCCACACTTCGGTCTGATGGAGCGGCCAGTCAGGGGTCCCCACCGTACCCTCCTCAGGTTTGCGAATTTGCTATCCTGGCTCACAGAACACAGAGAAACACTTTACTGTTACTTATTACTGGCTTGTTATAAAGGACAAAACTCGGGAACAGCCAAATGGAAGAGTTGTGCAGGGCACGGAATGTGGGAAGGGGCGTCGAGCTTCCCTGCCCTCTCAGGGTGCACCCCCATCCCAGCACCTCGTATTCCTCAGCCCAGAAGCTCTCTGAACCGCTTTGTTTAGGGCTTTTATGGAGGTTCCATTACGTAGGCACAATTTTTTTTTTTTAATATTTATTTTTGAGAGAGGGAGAGAGAGAGCGCGCGCACAAGTGGGGGAGGGGCGGAGAGAGAGGGAGACAGAGGATCCGAAGCGGGCTCCGCGCCGACAGCAGAGAGCCCCGTGTGGGGCTCAAACTCACGAACTGTGAGATCATGACCCAAGCCACAGTCGGACGCTCAACCGACTGAGCCACCCAGGCGCCCCGACGGGTAGGCACAGTTGATGAAATCACAGACCATTGGTGATTGACTCAATCCGGTCCCTCTCTCCCTCCAGAGGTGGGGGATGGGCGGAAGGCTCCAATCTTCTAGTCCCGACTGGTGCCCCCCAGAGTCATTTTATTAGGCATCAATTCAAGTCTGCTTGAAAGGGGCTTATCATGAATGAGAACAAACACTCCTCCTACCCGTGTCACTCAGGAAATTCCAAGGGCTTTATGAGCTCTGTGCCAGGAACCCGGGACGAAGACCAAGTTTAGATTTCTTATTATATCACAACCTCACACACGTATTTAAAATCTTTCAAGTGTCGATGTTGCAGTTAGTTTCCAATAAGCTTAAATTGTCCTCTGACTTTATGATCCCCCCCCTATAGCTTCAGGTACGGGGTCTGTCTACCCAGCCAAATATTTTATGTGCTGTTGAAAAGAAAGCCAATTGTTATAAATTAAATTTCAATTTCAATTCTTGCTGGATAGGCCATAAATAGCCTAGCAACAAAGATAAATGCGTGGAGTCGTTATTAAATTAGCAGTTCGAGTGAATAAATGGCTCGCTAAGTCTGAGTTAACGTTCATTATTATTTAAGAGATTTATCAGCTAGCCTGGTTTTTCTAATGGCCAATGCTAAGCTCGTTAGCCAGAGTGGACATTAGAATAAAGTGGAAGGTTCCATGCTATTGTGGATACAAAGATATTCTGATGAGTGTCATTGAGGAACCGGAAAAAGGAAGGGTCCTGCTTAGGGAGGGCAGGGTGGGTATATTAGGGAAGCTTCGTTCTCCAGCTTCTGCACGGAGAAGTGGGAGCTTCTTTGCCTAGGAGAAAAGGTCTCCATCCGGAAAGGATTTGTCAGCTATTCCCCAAAGCTTTTTTTTTTTTTTTAAACCCTTTTGAAAAAAAATGTTTATATTTATTTTTTGAGAGAGAGCCTGAGCAGGGGAGGGGCAGAGACAGAGGGAGCCAGAATCCCGGGAGCAGGCTTCCCGCAAAGCCCGACGTGGGACTCGAACGCACGAATCAAGAGATCAAGACTTGAGCCGAAGTCGGGCGCTCAACCGGCTGAGCCCCCCAGGTGCCCCGGCTGTTCCCCAAAGATTTTTGATGGAGTTGCCGGTATTTCCTCTACAGATGTGGGGGCAGACAGCTCGGCAATAGCGGGCGGAAGCTGTTTGTGCAAGGACTTGACACGTGGCGACCGTAGCAGACAAGCCAAGAAGAAAAGAGCACAAGATTGCAGACAGAGGGGAAAGGATTCTGGGCAGGTCAGGGTGTGTTACCAAGTAATACTCCACTGTATATATATATATATATGCCTCATCTTCTTTACCCATTCATCCATCGATGGACATTTGGGCTCTTTCCATACTTTGGCCATTGTCGATAGTGCTGCTATAAACATGGGGGTGCACGTGCCCCTTCGAAACAGCACACCTGTATCCCGTGGATCAATGCGTAGTCGTGCAATTGCTGGGTAGTTCTCTATTTTCAATTTTTGGAGGAACCTTTTCCAGAGTGGCTGCACCAGCTTGCCTTCCTACCCACAATGCAACAGTAAACGTCAGGCAAATCTGACTGGAGTTTAATGGAGAGGCAAATAATTACCTGGTCACAGGGACAGCGCAGAGCTGAGAAAGAAGGGGCTTGGGTTAAGGGTCTGTTAATGCTGAGGTAGCCAATTTAACCCAGACTCAACTATGAAGAATTTCCCTTCTTTTTTTTTTTTTTTTTTAACATTTATTTATTCTTTTTTTTTTAATAATTTTTTTTTAACATTTATTTATTTTTGAGACAGAGAGAGACAGAGCATGAACAGGGGAGGGGCAGAGAGAGAGGGAGACACAGAATCTGAAACAGGCTCCAGGCTCTGAGCTGTCAGCACAGAGCCCGACACGGGGCTCGAACTCACGGACCGCGAGATCATGACCTGAGCCGAAGTCGGACGCTTAACCAACCGAGCCACCCAGGCGCCCCAACATTTATTTATTCTTGAGAGAGAGTGTGAGCAGCGGAGGGGCAGAGAGAGAGAGAGAGAGACAGAGAATTCGAAGCAGGCTTCAGGCTCCGAGCCATCAGCACAGAGCCCAACGCGGGGCTCGAACTTAACCGACCGTGAGATCATGATCTGAGCTGAAGTCGGACGCCCAACTGACTGAGCCACCCAGGCACCCCATGAAGAATTTCCATTCTTAGGAACTCACTCTCAGTCTGCCTCCTGTCCTTATGGAAATTTCATGACATCGTATGGTGGCCACAGCGTCTCTCCTGGCAGTGGCCGAAAGCAGTGAGAAGTGGGCTGTTCACAGTCAATGTGGAACCATCCCTTATATCCGTCTTCTTTCTTATGCTCTGTTAGGCTAATTTCATCTCCCCTTGCCTATTACAATTAGGATTACGAGGCCTCCACGGAACCGGGGGCGTGGCACTTCAAGGAGTGACTTCTTCCCCCTCCCCCCACGATCCCACGGGAATTCCCAGAGCCCTGATTGAGCAAATGGAGCTATTTTAATGAATAACTCCCTGAACTACCCACAGAAGCGCCTCGGAAGGACTGAGGATCAGTCCTGAGGGTCACAAGGAATCCAAAACATTTCACAGGATACCATTTTGTGTTCTCGGTTCAATGCAGAAAATATGTCCTGAGGACTCTTACATCTGGCCTCTGTGTGCCATCGCGTGCGTGTGCCGAGCGGGGAGAATCAAAAGAATTGGGAGTTCTCATTTTGAGAACCCTATAATTCAGTTAGTAAGGGGAGTGTGGGTGCCCGACGTGAGCCCCTGTCAGGAAATACACGCTGGAGCTCATGCCAACTGCTAGGGACAGGTAGCCGTGCAGAGGAACTTTGGGGGGGCCCGCAGGGTTGAGGGGGAAAGAGCCACCTGGGATAGGGTGAAGGGGGACGTTTGTAGCGTGGGCTTGAGCTGCCTGTGTCAGTGAAGGGGGTGCTGATGGTATGTGGCGAGACATTGGTGGGAAACAGATCAGACAAAGGTTCCCTATTCCCCTGTAGAGGCCTAGAATCTGACACAGCGTAGACCCTTCTGCCCAGGCTGCCGATTGGTTTAATCAACTGGCAGGCCTTAGCACGGGGAGTGGGGATTCTCCTCAGTGCTGCTAGGACCGAGGACATTGACTCCGGTCACTTGGTGAGGGAGGACGAGCCCAGGAAACCCAACTGTCCGCAGGCAGCCCCCCATTCCAGAGTCTTGGCCTGGTCCCCCCACCGAGTGCTATCTCATCAAGGGCAGCGATCTGGCGAGTCTCTGTGAGAGCTGGCTGGGGCCGCCTTGACAAATACCACAGACTCCGGGGCTCAACAATGACATTTCTTTCTCATGCTTCTGGCGACTGGAAGTCCAGGATCAAGGCGTCAGGAGGGCCGGTTTCTTCTGAGGGCTCTTTCCTGGGCTTGCAGACGGCCACCTTCTCGCTCACCGTGGGCTCACCTACGTGTGTCCAAACTTCCTTTCATTTAAGGACACCGGTTGGATGAGATAGTGTGATGGCTCCGTTTTCATTTAATCACCTCTCCCTAAAGGCCCTGCCTCTAAATACCGTCACATTCTGAGGTCCTTCCTGGCTTCAACATATGAATTTAGAGGGGGCACGGTTGTCTCTAGGGGGTCTCTTTTCAGAGCCCTTTGAACTTGATTTTGGGACCTCCGGGGCTCAATTCTTTTCTACTCATTCTCTTCCTCTCCTGCCCCTGAGGCTTTCCTGTGATCACCTGCAAAGAGGGTGGGCACCTTGGAGGAGGGGAGTGGTAGCTGCAGTGTAGCCCTTAGACCTAGGTAAGAAGGACCCTGTCCTCGGCGCCCTGCTTTAGAGACCAGGCCTCCGGCTGGGCCTCCTCGTGGGATGTCTGTAGGGTCACGGGACATGCCCACCTTCCCCTTCTCTCCCAGTCACGCTGAGTGTCTAGAATTCCCTGCCCCTCTGGCTCCCGGCCCCCCTCCAAGGGGGGGGGGTGGGGGAGGGCTAGGGAGGTGGAGCTTAGGTTATCCACACCCCACAGCTAAGGCACTTGGTGGTGTAGGAACAGGGAAGAGGTGGGGGGAGAGAAAAGTGTTGGAGGTCGACGGGACATGAGACTCCACTGTGTCCAACCCACCCGTCCTCATTACCCAGAGGAGGAAACGAGACCCAGAGAGGTGAAGTAACTTGCCCAGGGTCCCCCAGCAAGCTGGCTCAAACCCAAGCCTCCTGCACGCAAATCTAGCCAATACGTTGCGCTACGATGGGGTGGCAGGAGGACGCAAAAAGGCCACACTCTTCAGGTTCACGCGACCCGAGTGAGATTGTCCCTGCCCCTTAGCAGCAACATAGAGACAACCAACATTTACTGAACGCTTACCCTTCCAGGAACTTGCTGAGTGCTTTCTAGTTAGTGCTGCACCCCTCGCAACAACCCTGTGAGGGGCGATTGTTTTCATTTTACCAAGGGGGAAACCGAGGCACAGAACCGCGAAGTAACGTGTCCCACGGTCATAAAGGGTAGATGCGGGCTGTCAATGCAGAGGCTGCATTCTTTAAATTTTTTTTTTAATGTTTATTTATTTTTGAGACAGAGGGAGACAGGGCATGAATGGGGGAGGGTCAGAGAGAGGGAGACACAGAATCTGAAACAGGCTCCAGGCTCCGAGCCGTCAGCCCAGAGCCCGACGCGGGGCTCGACCTCACGGACCGCGAGATCGTGACCTGAGCCGAAGTCGGACGCCCAACCGACTGAGCCACCCAGGCACCCCCAGAACCTGCATTCTTAGCCACCATGCTTAGGTTCGTGAACTTATCCAAGGAGAATTTTCCTTGTCTGTAAAATAAGATAAATAATGGGCGCCTGGGTGGCTCAGTCGTTAAAAGCGTCTGACTTTGGCTCAGGTTCGTGAGTTGGGAGTCCTGCATCAGGGGAACCCTGTCTCTCTCTCTCTCTCTCTCTGTCCAGGACACACACACTCTCTCTCTCTCTCTCAAAAAAAAAAAAAAAAAGAAATGATGGATTAGAGACAGTGATCAAAACACGTCTCATACCTAATGGGCGCTTAATATCTATATTTTTATTTTTTGTTATTTATAATTGGCATTGCTATTTAATTAAACTACACTGTGTCCCCCCTCCTTTGCTGATGTTTTGGAACATCTGTGGGTCTCAAAGTGTGTGCCCTGATTACTAGGTAGCCTGAGCACCTGATTTCTTGTTAGAAATGCAAATTCTCAGGTCCCACCCCAGACCTGCTGCATCGGCCTGGCTGGGAGGGGAGGGGAGGCAGGCAGTGGTCTATTGAGCAGGCCCTCCGGGTAATCCCGGGACACACTGAAGTCTGAGACCGCTGCCCTCCTCTTACCACTAATGTCCCCACAAACTACGGGGATCCCTACAATCAGTGACTGATTAGGTGCGCCCCGAGTTGGTGCTTCTGTGTTTCACTTTTATTTATTTACTATCTTTTAATGTTTATTTTTGAGAAAGAGAGACAGAACGTGAGCAAGGGAGGGGGCAGAGAGAGAGAGGGAGACACAGAATCGGAAGCAGGCTCCAGGCTCCGAGCGGTCAGCACAGACCCCGACGCGGGGCTCGAACCCACCAACCGCGAGATCGTGACCTGAGCCGAAGTTGGAAGCTTAACCGACTGAGCCCCCCAGGTGCCCCCTTTAGATACAGCGCCTTTCTCCAGCCTGCGGCCTTTCATTGTATTTTTTTCATCTCATATTGCATTTATGTCTCTTGCGGGAACCTGTTTACGAACAGATTTAAGCAGATTTAATGGTGCCTTTTAGGATTGTCATTTCCAGCGCTGTGCTAGGAGGGACCGAGGGAGTCTGGGCGGGCTAAGCATTCCAGAGACTACGGTCCACTTCGTGCTGGGCTGAGTTCTTCCTTCTGTGAGTCTCAGCATCTTCGTGCCCTATTTTCCCCATCTGTAAATCAGATACAGGAAAGCCAGCTGCCCTTTTTCATATCAAAGTTTTATTTTGAAATAATAGGTATGAAAGCTCTTGGAAAAGTGTATTTGTTGCAGAGTAAAGTGTCATTAATACAATCTCTCTCTTTTTTTTTTTTTTTCCTTTCCCTTGGTAGATATTTTCAGATTCAGAAATACTTCGTTTTTGGCCCCTTCTCTCTCTCTCTTTGCAATCAATTCTTCCTCCTCATCTGGCACGGGCGCGGCTAGATGTGCTACTGGAACGTTCCCCCTCGACACCTTTGTGGCCGTGTGTCTGTGAGTATGGGCATCTGAGGTACCTGGTCGGGATGTATACGTCGGGACTGTGTAATTGATTTCCACTCACCACCTACGCATGGCCATTTCATTTTCATTCTTGAATGATGTCTGGCCAGTGTTCCCTGAACGATCACCACGTACCTTACACAAGAAAATTCAGCAGTGGTCGAGAGGAAGGCTGGCCACACCCAAATGTGATTGAGTTTCAGAGTCACGGGGAAACGTATCCCGATCCCAAATTGTCCTGTTCCTATCACGTGACCCCTGAAGATTAGTTTCTTTTATTTGAGGTGTGGCTTCTCCCTCAAACACCTTAGCCGTCCTGTCTGTTACTTTTTGTTTGCATCCTGCACACAAACTAACGGAAGTAGAATTGCCAGGGCGTAGCCGGCATCATTGGGGAGGGGCTTTCCTGGAAACCTCACTTATTTAACTACCCCCCTCTGAGACGTCCATGTCCATATCACCACCCTGTCACCCGTATCACCGGCTACCTTTGTAAAAACGACTACCAATCTGACGGAGTCAATCCACTGGTTTAATTTACCTTAAAACCTTGGTAACGAGGAGGTTTTTTCCCCCATCAAGTTTATCTGCTATTCATACTTTTCGCTCCTGTTTCCATGTATGTTACCATGTTTCCATGTATGTTAGCTGGGTTCTTACTGCTCTTTTAAACTATCTTATATACATGAAAGATACGAGTTCGTAGTCCAATCAGCTGCAAGTATCCTCCTTAGGGTTTGGGTGTTTCCGTTTATGATTTTTTTTTTTTTTTTAGCAATTATAATAAGGAGTCGAGGGAAATCCATTAATCTTATACTTCATTAATCATTTCCTTCATTATCGATTCTTAGGAAGCCACTCCCGCCCCTTTAAACTGTTCGATACTTGTCTGTATTTTTGTTGGGGGCTTGCGTGGTTGGTTTTTCGCTGGGCTGTTTTCTCTGCCTCTTACGGTGGCTTTGGCGCGCCGTAAGGCTTGGTCACACGTGTCTTCCCCCTGCAGCTGCCTCACCTCGCTGGGCCTCCTCCTCCCCCTGGCTGGCACTGTCTATGTGGCGGCCAGGGGGCGGGGGCCCGACTACAGGGAGTCACCCTCACATCGGGCACGACCGGCCACCGACGGGAGCCTGCCTCTGAGAGAGACACAGAGGAGTGACCCAGGAAACAGAGCGGGTGGCCTGGCCCACCTCTCACTCTCAGGAACCCCGAGCAGAGGACAAAGTAGGCATTTTGATAACCTAAGAGCGCGCACTAGAGGTGGCTTAGAGGAGCCGTATTTGGAAAATAAGTCCGACGGTGCTGGGGTCTGGGGAACGTCCAACAGCGTCTAAATGCCAGTGTGGAGGTTGGGTCTCTGTTCTTCACAATTCCGTCTTTGTTTGCCGTCGGAGTGTTACGGCGAGTCACTAAAAATGCTGCTTTCTTTCTTGGGTACAATGACCCAGTGTGTTTTGTGCTACCCCGTGACCAGGGCAGAGCAGGGCTTGGGTTTCGCTGCAGTCATCCTGTAAGAAACAATTCCATGACCACAGTGTCTATTTTCGGTGTCACAGCGACGCAGATGGCTCACAGAACCTTGCTGGCATCACTAAGGTAAAGGATTGACGTCCACATCGAAGCCAGGGGAGTAAGTGTGCAACACGTTAAAGCCTGGCTGAGCGTATCTGAGCCAGAACTAAATAACCCACTTAGTGAAGGGCGAGCTGGACGGCGCTTAGCAGTTGGTCACGTTGCGTTGTGTTGCAGCTGAAAATCAAAAGCATTATCTTCATTTCCCCCTGCCCATATGGCAAGGCAAAGCCCACACACACACACACACACACCCTGAAACAAGGGCCGCTTCGTCATGCAAACAGATTTAGCACATGGGGAATCGTTTCTGGCAGAGTCCCCGGACCTGCACACAATTGATCTTCCCTTACTCCAACGCGGGGGATAAAGATAAGACACCATAGCAATGAATGGGCCAAAAGATTATGAATACGTGATCAAGCAGCTGCAGGGGATATGTCCACTGTGGAGGGCACGGCGATGATTTTATCAGATCCTCTTTGGATCTTCGGGCAAAAATAAAAACCGCTGTAACACTACCACGAGCTCCCAGCAACAAGCTGGTGGTAACACTACCACGAGCTCCCAACAACACGAGCTCCCAAGCAGCTCCCAAACAACAATTCTTTTCTTAATTTTTTTCATGTTTATTTATTTATTATGGGGGGGGAGGGGCAGAGAGAGAGGGAAAGAGAGAATCCTAAGCAGACTCCACGCTGTCAGTGCAAAGCCTGACTTGGAGCTGGAACTCACGAACCATGAGATCATGACCTGAGCCAAAGCCAAGAGTTGGACGCTTAACCGACTGGGCCACCCAGCCATCCCTGCTCTGTCATTTCTACCGATGGGCCCTTGTTTTGCCCTCCTACTTACTCTCTTGTTTCATCAGATACTGGGGACAGTTATGATGGCTTCTCCTGTCATAGTCTCAGAGCCCCTCAGTCACTCCTCACGTGACATTGTTCAAGAACTTGGCTCCCCAGCTGCCATGTAGAGAAGGATCCACGAGCGGGGAGCATGCTTAGCGACCTCCGCTCAATCCTGCCTGGGTTTCTAACTCTGCCCTTGGTGGGGTTGTTTGACCCCTAAGAACCTCAGGTTCCACATGTGTAAAACGGGGACATACAGTGGGATTTGTTGAAGGCATTAAATGAGGTAATGGAAACTTCCATCCTCCTGCTACGTTGCCTTTTTCCTCATTCGCTGCCCTTAAGCCAGAAGGAGGAAAGGGTAGTGGCTTTAACTGCCCAAGACCTCTCGCTAACACTGACCTTGCTGAGGTCAGCTGGGTTCCAGGCACCTGCCACGGGCTTCTAGTTGTCAGACTGAGGGCGAGCCTACAGCCACCGAAATTCACCGCTGCCTGTCATTAGGTTGAAGACTAAGCCACGGAGCCTGGCGTTTTAAGGCAGATGCACCTGATACGGTGTCAGGACCCAGCCACCGATACGTTAGGGTTTCGGCCCAAGACAGGACTCTCTATGATCAGGACACGAAGGTTATGTTCACTTTTTCAGCAGCTATGTTTACCTGTGGCCTCAAAACGGCGGAAGTGGGGGGACCGTGTTCTCTTGCTGTAACTTTTTGCTTTTTTTGGATTTAATACCATCAGAGTAAAAGATCACATCCTGAATGTTTGGAAACAAAAAATCGAGATGCAGAGAGCCCTAGGGTCAGCATCTTTTTTGTCTCCAGATTTGCACTCACCAGCGAGTCAAATCAACATAAGACTACCGTGTCTCCTAGAAGTTTAGAGCCAAATTGGGTATTTCAGATTCCTGGTTCTTTATCCTCCAAGTAATCATTGCGTTCGCTTAGAGAGGTTTCCTGTTACAAGAGCCTGCCCTTTCCTACTTAGATGAGAAAAAATACCAGCACGTGTTGGAGGAAGTTTCCACGAAGCAAACGGCTATGGATTTTAGCCCCTGGAAGGCAGGGCTCTTACTGTGTGGTCTGTCACTTCAAGCGGGCTCACGGTAATAATCGCTGAGAAAATCCAAAGGGGCCACAAGGTCTTTCAAAGCGCCACGACACCTTGTGGTTCGCAAACTTTGGTCCTCAAACTCCGGAAGCACCTGGAGGTCTTGTCGCAGCACAAGCACCTTTGCGGGGCCCGGCCCTCAGGGGTTCTGGGTCGGTGGGTCTGGGGTGGGGCCTGAGACCGTGCATTTCCAACAGGTTCCCGGGCGATACTGAAGCTACTGGACTGGGGACCCCCTACTTTGAGAACCTCTGACCTACATGCATCCTTTCAACTGATCTTCCCCATCCCCCTTGGTTTATCCTTTCCACTTACCAGCGAGTAAACGGGACTCAGAGAGGCCGTCTTCTCTACAGACCGGTTATTTTCAGACACCGTTACAAGCTGCTACTAGTTACGGGGAGCCACAAGTAGAATTTAGATGCAAAAAAAAAAAAAAAATCGAATGATAGCAAAATGCATTCAGGGCTCGCTTGCCAAGGTGGGCAGGCGTCAGGCCAGATGTTTGGCAAATATGTTCAAATGCTCACCGCAGCCCGGCCAAAAAGGGTGCTCAGTTTCAAGGTGAGGGAGGAGGTCCCGAGAGGTTGAAGAGAAGGCAGAACCGGCCAGAGCCCGGGTTCTGTGCGTGTCTCTCTCTCTCGTGGCACGTGGCTTCTGGGGAGCCGAGGGGAGCCGGGACTCGGGGTGCAGGACACGACTGGCCGTGCTGTGCCAAGGGCCGGTCGGTGAAAATGCCCCTAGAGGAGAGGGTGAGCTCTGTGATTTCAGGCAGGCACACAGGAGAGCGACTCCGATGGAAAAACCCCTATTCACGGCCGAAACCTCCGAAGGTTTGACAATGACATTCCCCCAGTTCAGAAACCGATTTTAGATTTGCAGAGCCGGGTTATCCGCCAGCTCTCATTTGTAAATAAGTCTCATTTCTGCGGGGACTTCTTGAGCCTGCAGTGTTTAAGCACCAAGCTTCGACCAAGAGAAACCGTGAGTCTCTTGGAGCGGCTCGCGCCTTCCTTTGGAGGCTCCTGGTTCACAGGTCCGGCTGTTTGGAATGCATCCCAACGAGTCCGATCAAAATTTTGTAGACACGAAACGGAAGAAGGGACGTAGAAGGGACGAGAGCAATTGGGCTTCAAATAGTGAGTGTGGCAGGTGTGATGGTGTCTCCTTTGCTCCTCATGACAATCCTCAGGTTGTGAGATGGACTTTGACTCCCGTTTTGTAGCTGGGAAAACGTAGGCACTTCAGGGCGGGCGGTAACACCTGTGCTCTCGTCCAGGATTTTTAGGAGCCACGGAGCACGCTCTGAAATGCTTTTCGTGGCAGAAGAACGTGCCGGCCATCCGGACCACAGAGACGCCCGCGGGGGGCGTGTGCTCTGCGCTGAATGGCATCCGGGCTCTGAGCCTCCTCTGGATCATATCCGGGCACACCAGTCAGATGACTGCCTGGCTGTCTTTGGGTGAGGAGAACTCACGGGTCTTTCCGAGCAGTCGAGGAAGAGGGCCGCTTTCGCGCGAGGGGATCGTGTTGGGCCCGGGACGCGAGCCTGCAGCCTTCCTGCTGTTTTAGACACGTAGCCGTGACCCCCCGCCCCCCCGCCACAAGTGAGTTTTGGGAGGGCCCAAACCGATGCCCAGTAGTTGCTCCCCCTCCTCATGGGTGGAAACCAGGCACCTGATGACCAGGTGAACAAGCGACACCCGAGGATCACACATGCGTCGTCCAAAGAGCCGGATTCCCTCTTGTCCTACTCGACGAAGCCAGAAACTAACATGTTTTTTTCCCCTGGAAAGGTAGTCAAGCATAAACAGATAAATATTATGCACCGGTGTTAAAGCCGTGTTTCTTGGCCCTGCTGCCTCACTCCGGAAGCAGCACGGGAGCCGCTCCGGTGGGGGGGATGTGCACCAGGTCAAGGGGATGTTGCTGCCCCCCCCCCCCCAGGAGCTGTGGGCACCGTGAGAACAGGAAGCAGTCCAAAGCCTGAGTTACGGTGGTTCCGTGGCAGATACTGTCAGGTGCCTCAGTCACCATTTCTCATTCCGATCTGTGTTCTCTTCAGTAAGTTGTGGGGATACACAAAATCCTCTTTTTTTTTTTATGTTTATTTATTTTTGAGAGAGAGAGAGACAGAGAGTGAGTGGGGGAGGGGCAGAGAGAGAGAGGGAGACCCAGAATCCGAAGCAGGCTCCAGGCTCCGAGCTGTCAGCGCAGAGCCCGACACGGGGCTCGAACTCACGAATCGTGAGATCACGACCCGAGCCGAAGTGGGACGCTTCGCTGGCCGAGCCCCCCAGGCGCCCCGAAATCCCCTCGATACCATGAAAGTCGAAGGTGCTCCTCTTGCTTTTTTTGAAAACGTAAATCACATGACTTTCTTCGGTGAAACAGAAAGACAACTGTTTTTATGTTTGTTGCAGATAATGTGCTTGAGTGGAAAAGCAGAGTGCTTAAAAATCCACTGTACCTTTATTCTCGGAGTGGCCCATTCTATCTTGGGGTTGACACATTCTTCCTGATCAGGTAATGTGGTGTTGTGTCTGCTGTTGTGCATATTGCTGTGTGTGTGTGTGTGTGTGTGTGCATGTGCGTGTGTGCGTGTCCAGCAATAAGCAAACAAATAAACAAGAACAAAATCGGATAGTAATAGGTACTAGGAAAGAAGAGCACAGCAATTGTGAGAGAGAGCGGGTAGCTGTTTAGACTTGTTGGAAAAGGCTTGTCTGATGAGGGACTACTGTGGCTAGAAGGAGCTGGCCCTGGGAAAATCCTGGATAAGAAAGATTCAGGCCAAGGGAGCCACCAGTGCCGAAGAGCTAAGGAGAGAGAGAGACAGAAACAGAGAGAGACAGAGACAGAGATCCTTGTTAAAGGAGCAGAAAGAAGGCCGAAGCATAGTGAAGGTGGGGAGAGAGGGAGTGAGCCGGGCAGGGCCAGACCACAGAGGACCTTGTAGCAAGACTCCGGAGCCCGGACTTTAGTCTCGGAGGGAACGGGAAGAGGTTGGATTGCTTTCGTTTGAAAGCGATATCATCTGACATTTTAAAAAATGATCACTCTGGCTCCTGTGTTCACGGCAGATCTAAGGCAGGCGGGGATAGAAGCAGGGAGATCCATCAGGTGACCTTTGCTATACTTCCCATGAGAAACGATGAGGCCTGGAGGGGAGGGGGGGAAGGGGAGGGCCGGTGGGCGGGATAGAGTGAGAAGGTCATGTGCAAGATAGGCTTTAGATGTGGAATTGTCAGGACCTGTTGATTGGATGTGAAGGGCGAGAAAGAGAGGACTTCAGAAGGACTTCCGGCTGGGCTCAGGAGCTGAGATGGGGGGGGGGGGTCTGTGTCGGGAGGGGGGTGGGAGGAGGAGGAGGAGGGGTGGGGGGTGGCTGGCATTCGCTGAGCAGAAAGCCTGGAGCAGAAGAGAGTCTTGGCGGGAAAACCAGGCCTTCTGTTGGAATCAAAGGGTGCCAACCCGGTGAAGATAACCCAGACACCCAGGTAGTGGTGTTCACTCAGCAGGGGCTCCGTGTGCCGGGAGCTCAGTGGAAATGTCCAGGCCAGAGATGGGAACTTGGGGGCCTTGGGTTACGGGCGGCAGGGAGGCCAACAGAGCTGGCCCGGATCTCGCGGGGAGGAGAGCACAAGCAAGGACAGGGCAGGGGTAGATGCTAGGACCTCCGCCGCCCCAGCCCGCAGAAGTGGGGGAGAAGGGGAGCCCCCACGGAGTCTGAGAATGAGCGAGACGGGACAAGCGAGACACTGCGGGGCCCAGGAAGCCGAGCCAAGGCAGCGGATCAGGAAGGAAGGGCAACTCTGTGGGAGCTGAAGAGACGCGGAGGCGCCCCCCGTATCTGGCGACGCAGAGGGGTGCCGGTGCCCCTGTCCGGGGAGTGGCCGCGCAGCCTGGGCCCTGGGGCCAGATGGCAGGGCGTGGAGACTGTGGCGGGGGGGCTGCGCCGTGCGTGGGCGGCAGGGAGCGATCAGGAAAGCGAGGGATCTGAGAACGCGTCCCCATCGCACGCTGACACGGCGGAAGAGAAAGCGACCCCCCCGATGAATGCTGCGGAGGTTGTTGGCCCCACAACAACGGAGCAAGCTTCCGATAGGTGCCCCATCGTGCTTCTTGTGCTTTGTGTTTTGTTTTCTGGTGGTTTTGTTTTGTTATGTTTGTAATTTTAAATTTTTTTTAATGTTTATTAATTTTTGACAGAGAGAGTGAGACAGAGCGTGAGCAGGGGGAGGGGCAGAGAGAGAGGGAGACACAGAATCGGAAACAGGCTCCAGGCTCCGAGCCGTCAGCCCAGAGCCCGACGCGGGGCTCCAACTCCCGGACCGCGAGATCGTGACCTGAGCCGAAGTCGGACGCTCCACCGACTGCGCCCCCCAGGCGCCCCGATGTTTGTAATTTTAAAGCCCGTGAAATTCAAAAGCGTACAAGCCGCCGGATTAGGAGAGAACCAGCCTGTGAACAGGGCAGCGCAGCAGCACGGGGGGGGGGGGGACGAATGGCCATCATTTTCGGCCACACTTACTTCCCCGAAGTCCTCGTGGCTTTCCCTCCCTCCCTTCAGCGTCTGCCCAAATGTTAACCTCCCAACAACGCCTGGCTCGTCTCCCTTGTTTAACACGGACCCACCACACTCTTGCCTCCATTTTCCCTGATTTATTTCTCCTCTTTACCTAACCTTATAGACGCCACGTGTTTATTATTCATGTATTTATTGTCGGTGTCTCTCCACTGTACTATAAGATGGGACTTCTTTCTGTTTTGTGTCCTGCTGTCCCTGGAGCCCAAAGCAATGCCAGGCATACGGGGCTGCCCAATAAGGAGTTGTCGAAATGATTTCTTTGTTGTTTTAGCTCAAGCTTCCGGTGTGACAGGTTCTTGGGGGTAAGGCAGAGAAAGGAGGGTACGGAATGAGCTGAGACCCGGTCACCAGGTGGCCAGGGTGACAAAAAGGGGCCCAGACAGGCGAGGGTCAGAGGCCACTTCTGCGGTGAAATGGGAACCACTGGGCACCAGGCTTGCCAGGAGGGCATAGCTGGGTCTAACCAGGCGGGCAAATCCGACTGCAGAGACCTGGGGCAGGCCCCCGCTGGGTGGGGAGGTCGGCCCAGGGGCCGGCCTTCAACGTCCAGAGCTCTGTTCCCTGCAAGAGGACCTAGCAAGAACAAGGCCAAAAAGATGGGACTGGCTGGCAGAGCCCCAAGCCGTGGGAGGGAGGCTGGCAAGGACAGATCAGCATGGCTGGAATCAAAGCCAAAAACTCAAGCTGGAGAATTGCCACCAGGAGGGAAGAATGAGGGCCTGGAAAGCCACTGGTCATGCCTGGACTATCAGTGCGAATCCCTGAGACACCAGAGCCGCCGTTGGGTCAGCCCTGAGATACCCCAAAACCCCGGGCCAAGGCTATGAAATTTCAGAAGTCCAAGACAACTGCAACCCTGCACCCTTTTATTGGTAAAAAGACGACATATCCGACCCCTGGCTCGCTCTGGGGCCCGGGGAGTGCTGGGCCTTTTATCAGTGGTTCTCAGAGTATGGTCCCAGTCCAGCTGTACCCGCGTCATCTGCAAGGCTGTCAGAAAGGCAGGTTCTCAGGCCCCACCCCGGGCCTCACCCGGCTAAGAGGCCAGGACTCCTGTTTCCTTCCCGTCCAATGTTCATTTTGTTTACTTTCTTAATTTGTTAATGTTTATTTATTGATTGTTTATTTAATGTAACATAATGTTAATGAGAGAGACCGAGTGCCAGCGGGGGAGGGGCAGAGAGAACGGGACACACAGAATCCGAAGCAGGCTCCGGGCTCCACGCTGTCAGCACAGAGCCCGACGCGGGGCTCGAACTCACGGACCGCGAGATCGTGACCTGAGCCGAAGTCGGACGCTCAACCGACCGAGCCACCCAGGCGCCCCCGTTTTGTTTACTTTCAAAAGTGCGCACCGGGGCTCCCGGCTGGCTCAGCCGGAAGAGCGTGCGACCCTTGATCTCGCGGGTCACAACGTCAAGCCCCACTATGGGTGTACAGATTACTTATAAATAAGTACACGTAAAAAAAGAAATGCACCGATTCTTTTTACAGAAACATTTCATTGGGACAATGGAAATCTTACGAAGGGACCCCTAGTATCGCCATCGTGCCAACGGCTCCTAACCTGTTATTCCGGACGATTCTCCCATTAAACCCGGGAAGCTGGAGCCGGTATCATCATGCTCGTGTTTACAGATGAGAAAGTTGATGTGCAGAGATGAAATCAGTTGCCCGAGTCCCCCCAGCTAGGAAAGTTCGAGTGAGAACGGGAGCACGATGCTTGTTTCACGCCAAGCGCAGGTCTTTACCGCCATGTCACGCACACATTTACGGAGCGAAACCAGACTTCTGACCATCCCTGGTGACGGCTCGGGAACCTTCCTCTACCTCTCTGGCTGACTTCCCCCATTCCTGTGGCGGGATTGTGCTCCCCGCGGCGGGGTCGGGTCTCTGCATCTTCCCAGCTTCCTCCAGCAGGTTCTCCTGCTGGCAGCCTGTTTCCCTGCCAGCCTTCTATTTGTCCTCTCTCCGCGCTGAATGGCTGGATGTTGCATGGCCACACAGGGAGACCCTGATGCGTTCTTTCCCGAAATTAAGAGGAGCCTGGAATCGGAATTGGCTGGCCTACTTCCACATCTCCACACTCCCTTCTACACGTCTCTATAAACTGCGTTCCTGTTATAGTGAATCCAACTTGCTGCGTTTCAAAAAAAAAAAAAAAAAAAATCACGCTGGCGGAGAATCAAGACATTCTCTAACCCTCCCTGATCCCTTCCAACACACACGTGGCCTTTTTTTTTTGGCCATAGGAAATGCATTTGCTCCTTAGAGAAACACCCACGAGGCCCATTGGCGTAAGCGTCAGAAGGTCAGGAAGCTCACTCGCAGACTCGCTTATCATCAAGTTGTAACTCGGAGATGTAGCCTGTTTCTTTAGCTGAACATCCTGGGCAACAAATTTGTGGTCAGGATGTGTCGGTTGAGAATCTTGGGCAACCCACTGACCCTCTGAGCCTCGATTTCCTAGTAGGCATGCAGGGATCGTAGTATCTTCCCTTCTACCGATCACTCACTCAATCGACATTTATTGCAAAGTAGGTCGGTATGACTGGAGAAGGACAAGCGACACCATTAGTGAAGGTACTTTGAAAACGGTGTGGCCCTACAGAAGTGGAAAGCTTTGACACTGTCGTTTCAAAAGGCCAACGCGATAGCTCTTAGTGTTGTTCACCAAATATTTCTGGCTCTCTTCCTTCCGGGCACTTGGTAACAGTCAACTTCCCGGACCCGTTGTGGTTAGGTGGAATCCAGGTCTGGCCAAGGAGGGGTGCCTGGGGTTGCCGTGATGCTAAGAGCTTTAAACATGTCGCTTCTGGGCTAGGACATTTAATTGCCGGTTTGAAGCCGTCCAAAATGCTCTTTTCTCTGCCGTGGTCACCAGTGACCTTTCAGACAGTGACCGCTCCTTCAGCCCGGGTCCCCTAGTTTGGAAGACGCTGAGGTCAAGGCGACTGGCCGTGGGCATGTCGCGCGAGCAAGAAAAAACCGTTACTGTTTTCGTGTTGGAGATACCTTGTTACTGCTGCATAACTTATTGTACCCTGATGGAGACAACCAAATTCATCATCGGATGAACTGTATCATTGATAAGTAATTCCTGTGGCTCTTCTCTTTCTCTCAGTGGTTGGCTAAGCGCAAGGTCATTTCTAAGGATGCATCAGAATTCGGACAAAGGAACAACCCTTAATGTCATCCTCAGATACTTCCTCAGCCGCCTTACAAGGTAGGTCTGTTTATAAAATGTCTCAATCCATTGTTGCTGTGTAACACCGTATTGCTTTTTAGTCTTTAACCCTCTTCTGAAGGAACGTTCGAAGCAAAGTAAACGGAGAGAAATCGTTTTCTTCATGAAGTTGGTTTTTGCTGCTTTTGCCAGCGGAAGATGCCGATTTTCGTGATATTTGCCCTAATAGAATTTGAACTACATGAAACCAGCAGAAACCTCCTTATTCCTCCGCTGACGGGCAGCAGATTTCCACAAATGTGCTGTCCGATTTCCATGGAACGTGTCTTCAACGGGAGAATGTGTATGTCTTGTACGAACTAGTGGTAATTGTGTCCTGTAAATAAGAGTACCGATGGTGACGATAAAAATCAAATAGGATACAGCAAAGAGAGGGGCTGGTGGAAGCTTGGGGTGATGGTGGTTCTGCTGGGGTGGGGGGGGTGGACGTGGCCCTCCTTACGAATGGGTGGTTGGTTGACGCAGGAGGAGATAGAGTCCTGGGACGGAGGATGGAACCCGTGATGCAGTAAAGACACAGGGAGCTTGGGAAGCAGAGGAAACTTCAGCTCATGGAACCCACCCCTCCTTTTGTACAGTCTCTAAATCACGGTTTGTTGCTGACTGAGCTAGAGCTGGCTCTCGTTACTTGTGGCCGTTGCCTGTCTTGTCACGCTTCGTTGTCACAGAGCGGGAAGGGGCTGTTGCAACAATCTTGTGGGCTAGGAAAATGGAGTGGGTAAGTTCTGACTCTGGTTTGTCAAATCTTTCATGCTGGCTCAGTCATCTACCAGCTATGTGACCTGGAGGCAGTGCCTCACCCTTTCCGGGCTTGAGTTTTCTCATCTCAAAAAATGGGAAGAATGATGGCACTCACTCCACGGGACTCTTGCGAGGATTAACGTTTATTTATTTTTGGGACAGAGAGAGACAGAGCATGAACGGGGGAGGGGCAGAGAGAGAGGGAGACACAGAATCGGAAACAGGCTCCAGGCTCTGAGCCATCAGCCCAGAGCCTGACGCGGGGCTCGAACTCACGGACCGCGAGATCGTGACCTGGCTGAAGTCGGACGCTTAACCGACTGCGCCACCCAGGCGCCCCTCTTGCGAGGATTAAATGAGAGCATGTGTGCTGAGAACTCAGAGGCACGTGTGACACACAGTAAGCCCTTCTGCAAGTAGAAGCTGTCGTTGTTACTGTGGTCGCCACTCACACCTTTTAACTTTTCCGGAAAATAGAGTAAGAATGAGTATGGGCTACGGAATGGGCCTCTATTGATTTCTTTTCACCGTGGCCTTTGCGGTTTCTTCCAAACTCTATTGAATCTAGCCCTTGTCCTGGATGCTTGACAGACTCCTTATTCCTTTTTTTTGGGTGTGTGGCCCTGGGTTTAGCATGTTGTGCCCTGTGGTCTTCTGGAGGAGAGGGACCGATTGACATTCAGGCCACAGGTTCTTAGTGATAAATGCTGATGTGGTGTTAGGGGGTGGGGCGTGGAATCCAATGGTGGCATCCGATCCAGGGCATGGTGGGTTCTGCCTGGGAAATCTGCTTCAGAAGAAAGTCCTGTTCTGGGGACTGAAGGACAGGAAGTGTTTTAGCAGGCAGATAAAGCAGTAGTGTGTATGTGTGTGTGTGTGTGTGTGTGTGTGTGTATGTGTCTGTGTGTGAGAGGTCTTATGGGTCAAGATGGTGGTGAGGATCCCCGTGAGGAAACTATTGCAATATCTGGGGAGGATAGCAGATCTGGACTGACAATTGGCCGTGGGAACGGAGAGAGGGCAAGTCAAGGATACTCAGAATTTCCAATCTGCACAATATGGCGGACGGTGGTGATGTTCTTGAGGAGGGAGCTCTGAGAAAGTGGCAGATTGGAGCCAGGAAGAGAGAGTCCAACCCGGGACATAACTTTGTTGAAAAATCGGGGGAAACATCACCAGCCCAGTTTGAACTCACTCCGTAAGGGAAACCCAGTGCGAAAGCAGCCACACTCCCAGCCTCTTTGATGGTCTCATTCTTGTCAGCAAAACCCACTGTTCTTACTCAGTTATGATCAATTACTTGCCTACTTATCTCCAAGAGGACTGGAAATGAGATCATTTGTTCACTCACTCATTCTGTATTTTTTATACGTTTATTTATTTATTTTGAGAGAGAGGATGTGTGCATGCAAGCACACGCAAGTGGGGGGACAGAGAGAGAGAGAGAGAACCCCAAACAAGCTCCACACTGTCAGTGCAGAGCCTGATGGGGCTTGAACTCATGAATTGTGAGATCATGACCTGAGCAGAAATCAACAGTAAGGCGCTCAAATGACTGAGCCACCTAGGCACCCCTCTTTCTGTATTTATTAAGGGCCCACTGTGTGCCAGGCACTGTTGTAAGCCCTGGGGATTCAATAGTTAATAACCACGCAAGTGCCTTCTGGCCTGGAGGTTACGTTCCAGTGACCAGAGATGGATAATCCATGAATAAATATGCGACATTAAGTTGCAATATACAAATGCATTTCTAGCAGGTCAGGGACCATAGGTGGCACAAAGTGCTTATTTGGAGAAGGAGGCAAGATGGGGTCTTCTGCTGGAAGGGTAGTCAGGGAAAGTGACCTGTGTCAAAGGACGTAAAAGAATGTTCTAAGCAAAGAGAGTGCTGTGGGGGAAGAAGGGCCCATGTGGGGAACAGGTGTTAAGGTCCTGAGAAGGGAATGTGGCTGGCATGTTTGAGAGACCGCAGAGAGCCCGCTGGAGTGGAGAGAGCAGCTTGGAGAACAGGAGGGGACGAGGTCAGAGAGGTGGAGCGGGGCCCCGTGGCCAGGATCGTAGAGGGCCTGTATGCTGCTTTAAGGACCTTCTATTTTACTGGGGCACAAGAAGCCTTTGGAGGGTTCCAGCAGGGGAGTGGCACGGGCCGAGTCACATTCTCCAAGAATCACGCTGAGAATAGACAGTAAGAGGACAGGGGCAGGAGACGGGGGACCCGGGAGCTACAGCAGCTATAAGAAGGTGCAAAACGCCAGCTTCCCGGGGTAAATCGGAACAAAGATTATGTGACAGGAAACAAGGAGAGTAGATGTCTCAGACCCTTAAAAGTGTGTGATTATTCCAACTAGGGGTAACAGGTTAAAAATCAGGGGTTTGGGGGCACCTATGTGGCTCAGTCGGTTATGCCTCTGACTCTTGATTTCGGCTCAGGTCATGATCTCATGGTCGGGAGACTGAGCCCGAGCTGAGCTCTGTGCTGAGTGTGGAACCTGCTTAGGTTCTCTCTGCACGCACGTGTACTCTCTCTCTCTCTCTCTCTCTCTCTCAAAAAAAAAAAAAAATCGGGAGTTTTTGTTACAATAAAAACATTACTGATAAAAATATCTATCACAGAAGGTTATACACTAAAATTAAGGGTACCCACTGCAGTCTCACTCCCCCGCAGGGCACCTTTGTTAACGGTTTCTTGTAAATTCTCGCAGATACTTTCCATGTACTTACATAGTTACAGGCACTGGGTTTTTTCTTTTTTTAATGTTTATTTATTTTTGAGAGGGAGAGACAGAGCGTGAGCAGGAGAGCGTCGAAGAGAGAGGGAGACACAGAATCTGAAACAGGCTCCAGGCTCCAAGCTGTCAGCACAGAGCCGGGCGGGACGTGGGGCTCGAACTCACAAATTGTGAGATCATGACCTGAGCTGAAGTCGGACACTTAACCAACCGAGCCACCCCCCTGCCCCTGGGTTCGTTCTTTCTTTCTTTCTTTCGTTCTTTCGTTCTTTTGTTCTTTCGTTTTCTTTCTTTCTTTCTTTCTTTCTTTCTTTCTTTCTTTCTTTCTTCTTTCTTTCATTTTCTTTCTTTCTTTCTTTCTTTCTTTCTTTCTAAGAATATGATTATACTATAAACCGTGCTATTTTACAGGTAGCTTTTTTCACATAATGATTTCATGTTGGCATATCAATCTGTTGTATGCAACGACCCACCTCACTGATTTTATTTTATTTTATTTT